ATACTTCATCAACACCTACGCTGCTGTCGACGGTTTCACTCCAACTGGACCTAGCAAGTAGCAAGTTTGAAGTGCAAGATCGGTTCTTGCGAAATCCATGTTGTTCTTGTGCTATGATATTGCGTTCTTCCAAGAAGTTCTTGAGCGCTTCGGCAACAATCGCTTCCATGCTTTTGGAGAACACCAGAAGTAGTGCTATGGGGTGATAGTTGGCCGGATCTGTACGACTACCCCCCTTATGGATGGGGTGAGGATTCCCTGCTTCCACGTTGTTTGTACCCGCATCTCATCTAGGCATCGCTGGAAGAACTTGGAAAGTGGGTCCACCAAGTTTGCTGCAGCCAATTTCAACGCCTTTGGAAGAATATTATGAGCGCTGAGAGAGGTATGCCCTAGCAGAGCAATTAACCTTTTCATAACATTCGCAGCCCTAAACGTGATGTGGCTAAGTCCTCTTGGTGGTACAACGCTCCGCAACGGTGTATGCAGCGCTGTCGTGCTCTGGAAGTTTGGGGCGAATTGTCGACATGGGCCTTGGGCGCCTCGGTTGGGGTTTGTGCTAGTGTACATTAAGTGTGTAAGGCAGAAATTCCTTTCAGCACTTTGCGAAGCTTTTTAACGTGTCTGTACAGGAGTTTCTGGTTTGAAAGGAATTTCTCAGCGAGATTCTGTTGATGTTGTATTTTATTTTCACGTACCAGGTTTACGCAGTGATTCCTTTGGATAGTGTAGGCTTCCCATATTACGGCACCCGGTAACTCCTTGTATCTTCGCCAGAGGAAATTCCTCGTGACGATACAATTCTGTGTCCTGCTGCGCATGCATGATTTTACTGTCTTTACCCGTGAAGGCCTTTTCCTAGAAGCACTAGTTACTAACTTGTTGAATTGGTGCGCAAAATCAGACTAGACTACATCGGGGGATCGTTCTTCTAGAGATTCCCAGTTTGTAGAATTTATGAGTTTGATTAAAGCGCCGTAATCCGTAATAAGCTGACAGTTCTCTGTGTTTTCTGCGGAATACTCTGCATAACATATGTTATTGAACATGCGTGTTGCATGGTCGCTACGGTCCAAATGACCCTCTAGCGATACCGTTTCGATCATAAGCTCTTCGTTGGTGAATACGAGATCTACGACACCCGGTTTGTTTCCTGTCCTGAATCTTGTGGGAGATGTAATGTGATCGTAGAGTGGTAGTCCACTAAGTATCTCCTGTACTTCCCTTTTGAAGCGTTCGTCGATACAGGCTGGGGTTTCTGTGGCTTGAATATTGAAGTCACCAACCAGAAGAATGTGGCTGTACTACTGTGAGAATGATCTTCATTGTGGAGGCTAGGCGGTTGTACATTTCCAAAGTAGCCGACAGTGGACGACACCCAAACAAACATGCGTCCCCACGAGTTAGGTGAAGATGGCACCAAAGCGCATCGACAGTCTGAACCTCTGGGTCATGGATGAGATCGAGATATAGTTCACTGTAATATTAAAGTGGTACTCGACCACTACTTGGTCGATCGTTGCGTAGAACAGACATCTCAGCTAGTGCGATTTCTGCATCAGTGAGCGCTTCACTCAACCAGTTCTTGGTTATTATAACGAGGTCCCTTAACATCGAGGCCTGACGCAGGCGAAACTCCATCAGTTTGCTCAAAATATCTTGTGCGCTCGTATAAAAACAGGAGAATGATTCAAAGGTTAGAAGATTGTTAGTGGGTGTAGACAACAGGTTTGAGACTTGGCTGGCCCTCGTGAGGCCAGCTGCTACTCGCTTCTTGAATAGTATCCGGCTCGCGAGAATGACTTGGAATAACTCTCTGCACCATGCAATCGGGTTCATGATGATTCTGATGATCACTCACCTGCGGTGTCTCACCGGATGCTATAACGGCTGTCAGCTCAATCTCTTTGGTGGACTCTGCAACAACTGGTGTTCCCACTGAGTTGGTCCTCTCTATTGAGTAACCAGTAGCCTCTGGTTGTAAACCTGATGTCTTTAGTCAAATTTCTGTTGGCAGCATGTTCCGGAAGTTACCCTAGTTCTCTATAACTGTCTGTAAAGTTAGATAAGACGCTAAGACCAACTTCAGCAACCTAGGACCACACCCTTTGTAATTTAGTGACACGGGAATCCTTGTCAGGGAGGTAACAACGACATTTTCTTAAGACAGCGCCTCACGAATATATCGCTATTGCTCCAGGTCATGTGCCTGAGATTCTTCAGGAGATGAAGCTTTAGACTCGGGGACGCCATGAATAATGACGGTTTTCAGCTCATGTTTTTTACTTCCCTGTTTGACGTTCTTTCCACCGAATATCCGGTAAGATATGTACTCGGTTTGTGGTGTCGATTCACAGCGAGCAGAATGGATTCCGTTTCGTCCGCGGAATGTAGTGTTACTCGAAGTAGTCGAGGCTCACCGTAGTGTAAGGAGTTAGGATGTCGTGCGATGCTTCTCAGCGTAATGGGTTCAGCGCTCATGCTGATGGCACTACAGATGGAATCTCACTAACTACGACCGTCTGTCAGTGTACTCTTTATTATGTTGGATTTGGATTCAGGTACGTTAGTGCACACAAGACTTAAGGCACCATGATTACGTCTCGTGGTTCGCGGCTTAAGGGTACTAGGCTCCTTAGTTTTTTGTGGATTTGTGGACCACACTGGCGATAGCGATCCATGTTGAAGTACGGTTTTGCTCTCTCCGGTAAGTGGAATCACAGGTGTCTTTGACAGCGTTTTCCCAGAAGCGACCGCTGCGTAGTATGTTCAGTTATTCTTTACCGTGAGCTTGCTGCAGTTTTGTGTTTCGAATATGTCAATTGAATTAATAGTTATTACACCATTGGTGAATGTAGAAATAGGTGGACTGTGGACTGCTTGTTCACTTAGTGGAATCATGTGGCTAGGGGTCGTTGGAGACTGAGACGCTGTGATGAGGTTGGGACGCCTGGCCCTCTTCTTCGGCCTAAACGGGGAGTTTGTAGGTGTTCGTTCAGATGCAAGTGTAGCATTGTGTGCTTTCACAGCTGCATTGCTAGCGTTCATCAGTTGCTCAACTGTTTCCGCCAACTTTTCATCCTTTTTAATTAGGAAGATTACGCAACTAACAACAGGGATAGGTTTGCACACCTGGCAGAACCAAAATGTTTTGGTTTTGCTGCTGTATTGTCTAGTTTCGAGTACACGCATCCCTAAACACTTCGAATGATTCGCTTTTTGACAGTTAAAGTTAACTAGACTAGACTTAACGACTTTCACACATGGGTCACAATTGACTTTCGAATAGGCCATATCCATTTGTGGCGTGCACTTTGTCATTGTGACTTGCACCAATTCCAAAAGGGATTAGATAGAAAAGGATAGTTCAGAATCTAGGTTGTAGATCTCTCACTTATCTACTTACCACTAGCTTAGAATGGAGTAATTCTGCTAATATATGTGATCACGGTCAGTATTAGGGCAGCGAATTTGAATTGACTGTAGATGGTGGTGATATGGTGTCAAGATTCCACAATAACAAGATAGAACGGAGCAACTGGATGTGTATACTACAACAGGGAGAGCAACAGGGCAGAGATACTTACGCACCGATTATGACTTCGCTTAACTTTTCCCTGCTTGGCAATCGGTACTGGTGTGAAGTCAGATGTTTGCGTCCTGCGCTTCAGAGGGGTCAGACGTGTCGCGTCCAGATGAGTCACACGTTCCTTAGGGTAGATAAGCTACGTGAGTGCTATCGATCCAGCAGGTAAGTGGATAGGCAGCGATGCAGCGTAGGATTGAGGCAAAGAAAGATGACTTGGAAAATACTGTCTAATGACGAGAGTGGCTGTTCCAAGGGCGAACCAAGTTGAAAACTATCGCTTTGTACAGCGACTAGAAGAAGTGGTAGTAAGATGTTCGGGTAACTCTCAAAAAGATCTTTAAAATAAGACCATCAGAGTTCTTGTGCGACGCGAGGAAAACTAAATTCTCCGATAAGATTCAAGTACGGTTGACTTTGAAATTGTAAAAGCACAGTTTCTGGTGACCCGCGAATGACAGATCCAAAAGATGAACAGTGGTAGGAGAAGCTGGCGGAGCCAAATCGCATGGTAGTACGTAGGACTCTGTGAGAGTAAACCCGAAGATTTAAATGTGAATAACGCAGGATGACGCTTTTTTGCAACCGCTCGGTAGCCCATCGTCAACGTAGTATCCTGACTTTAGTGAATGTTTCGTTCACGTGATGGGACTACGCGAGTTCACCATTTAATGTAACTGCTAGGTATCTCACTGATATACAGGTATTCAGACTGACACTGTCAATACAAAGATGCAGGATGTGTGTGAGGAGTTTGCGTTAAGGATTTTCAGTAGAAAGCAGGAAAAATACCAGCTTTATACTTTGATCAGTTGAGTGAAAGACAGTGGGATTCGGACCAGACTGTGAGGTTGTCCGAGGAGCATTACAATCTAGCCGCTGACTCGGTTGTGTGATTGTGTACACCAAGGATCACGTCATCAGCATAATTTAACAGGATGGCTTTCTTTAGTATTACGAGGAGGTTTTTCGGTAGTTCACACAAACCCCATCAGCAGTACGCTGGTACGCCGTACAGTAGCTTCGCAACTACCACCACTTGTGCATGGGCTATGGGTATTGTGATGGTCGCCCGATTCCCTACGCAGGCTCAAACCCACGCCCTGGGATTACAAGGTAGGTTTTCGATCTTTTAGGCCATGGACCGCCTCTCGCTGATGTGCAAGAAATCAGATTGACACTGTCAATACAAAGACGCGGCGCATGCGTGAAGACATGCTGATAATGATTTGTCGTGGAACTGGCATAGCAGCACTATGCAGTTGCTATTTATAAGCAAAAGGTTTGCTCATATACGCACGCACACACGGATGGACGAATGTTTAGTTATGGTGAAACAAAATGAGCAACAATGGAATATTTTGCTTTTTATTTTTCGTAAACTAATTCTGTCTCGTTTCATTGAACTTTGCAGCCCTGAATCACGGATAATTTCACGCACGTGAGTCCCTCTGTTCTTGTTACTGAGTTATGCAGTTTTCCCGTCTTCATTCGGAATACCTGTCGGAAGTTCTAACAAGGATGGCGTGAGAGAATAAAACCGATGCATAAATATGCTTCCACATAGCTGAACCAAACCATAAGTGGTTCAGAAGTGAATCGATTAGGGCCCATCACATTGGAAAATGGATGCACCGGGAAAAAAGGACAGAGAAATTACATGATTCGCCCAACATTATGATGAGAGTATCGTCGCTAACGAACTAGGCAGTTTCGATGGGAATATCTGCCCGATACCTTGGAGCAAATTGAACCGAAATTGATAACCAAGCAGTTTACACTAATTGTTTTGCATGAAAGCTGTACACGATGGTCTGACCAGGTTCCCTGCATGGTGTCTCAATTTTCCCCGAAAAACATACGTGCTACAAATGCTTTCTATATGAGCACTCTCATGTTAGCCTACTTTCAACACAACTTCACTGGTGGATATCAAAGATAAACGAATAACGTAGATTAGGATAAGAAATTATTTGGTTACTTTCTAAAATAAGCCTATATTTACGAATACATAAAATATAAACTGTTTTCTAGTTCGAACAACGGAACACTGGCACAATGGTATAATACGGTTAAAAAAAGCCAAGGCTCGACAAGTCCCGTGGGATGGTTTGTGGGCATAAGATTATTTCAATTAAGTTCCACGAAAGTGAAAAACGCAGCTTTGTACTCACCATATTATCCACCTTAATACTATGATATATTCGTCTACACCGATTTCCTGGGATTGGTAAACACAATGTTTGCCTGCGCCATACCGTCATCCAATGAGTAGAAATCAGCTCAAGTAATCTAGGTGGTGTAAAGCATCGTCGAGTCATTTTTCAAAAATAAGTAGCGTGGGCGCAGAAATGACAAAAGTCGGAGGAGCGTACCACGGTTGATAAACTCGAAGGGAACAACAATTCCGGCAGGATTCCATCCGGCTGCATCGGGTGGCGAGTTTCAATTTATGTCCCCCCAAAGCCGTGTTACGGCTAAGGTACATGAGGTGGCTGCAAGTTTGACCGGAGTTTTCCAAAATCTGGAACGCCAGGATGCGCTAACCGGGTAGACGGCGATATCTTCTGCAATGCACTCCCAGGGCTTTTAGTTGCCTATGGTATTACAGGTAGGACAACCTCTTCACAATTTTTAATGATCGTCGCTGTCCGCTCCCATGTGCAACCAAGTCGCGTTCTAACCTGGTTTACATCCCCTTCTGATCGCCATCGCCTCCAAATTACTCGCCTCCATAATTCCTCAAAGACTGACTGGCGCTCGTGAAAGTCAAATTCGTGAGGAGCAAGCCGGGTTTTGTCGGGGTCATGGCTACATCGACCACATCTTCACCTTGCGTCAGTTGCTGGAGCACCGTCACACATATTGGCGGCCCGCCGTAGACATATTCCTCGACACCAAAGGTGCATTCGATTCGGTTGGTCGATGTGCCCTTGTGGACTGTCTACTCAGGAAAGATGTGACCGAGAAATATGTAAATATTATCCGAGCATTATATACGCGTAGCACTGGCAGAGTAAGGGCTTACGGCAAGCTGTCGCCACCCTTCAATATCTCCAGCGGTTTGAGACAAGGATGCCCACTGTCACCTTTCCGCTACAACTTCGCTATTAACGAAGTCATGGAGATTACATTTACAAGACATGACTTGGGAGGTGTAGAGCTACTCCCAGGAGAACGATTCTTGACTTGGAGTATGCAGACGATATTACCCTCATCTGTGACAGCTCCCAGACGTGCTAAGCCGTGCTGGACAGATGAGCACTGACTGTCAGCCGCTTCAGGCGGTGCTTTGCACCATCGAAATCAAAGCGTTCCTCCAAGACTGGCAGGGATCGCCTTCTGCGCTGACCCTTAGTGGGGATCAGCTAGAAGTCGTTCGGAAACTCAACTACCCGGGAAGTTGTATCAGCGCCATTGCGATCGAAGACGAGATCACGAACCGTATAGCGAAAGCTCGAAGTGGTTTTGCTAACTTTCGCCCCCGATGGCACCGGCGCGATATTGCTCTCGCCCTGAAGGGTGGAGTGTACAATGTAGAGGTACGTTCGACCTTACTGTGCGGTTGTGAAACCTGACCCCTACGATCGGCGGACATAAAGAGGCAAGTTACTTTCTACCATCGGTGCCTTCGCAGTTTGGCTCACATCTGGTGGGAACACCGCGCGAGTAACGAGCGTATTCGACACCTTGTTTACGGTACAGGAAAATGGAACTGAACCGCTCAGCACCGTCATTGCACGTACCAGGCGCCGATGGCTGGGCCACGTGTTGCGCATGCCAGCACACCGACTTCCACGACGTGCATTGTTTGCTCACCGGGAATGTGGATGGAAGAAGAGGAGAGGTGGCCAAGCGATGACTTGGGTCCAGAGGAATGAAGGCCCTCACTTCGGAGCTGGTCTTGGTTGGAGCGTCACAGCTCTCTGGTTGGGGTCCAAAGACGGTGAACACGTTTGGCTGGATGCACTTGCTGACATGGCAAGGAGCCGACCTCAGTGCCGTTCCCGCTGTGAGTCCCTTTGTCCCTCCCCATCCCTTTTAGTCTCCCCTCCACCTACGACCTCATTTGGTAGCGTAAAATGTAATACTTTTTTTTCTTTTTGCCTAGTAGCCGGCAGGTAGCTTACAAGAACGATGCCTATCCGTTGCTGGTAGCTCAGCTGGAATGCAACTGTTGTAGTTATTTTCCTTTTCCTTTATATATTACGGCACAGTAGCTGGGGTATTTCCCACCTCTAACTGACATGTATAATAAGGATGATGATGACGAATCGCCTTCTCTACACGGGGCCTCACATATGCATTTGGTATTTGGTAGGAAGATAGAAAGATCGAATCGCCCGAGCGCCCTCCGTATCAGATCAACATGTTGGTTCGCGGTTTTGGACGCCTTCAAGAACTGCGCCAAACAGCCGAGGTCATTTTGGATTACCACTTCAAAGTCTCGCTCTTGTGAGTTGGTGTTCAGCTTATCGTTCCAAGGTTCCATGCGTACTTGGGCTTTGACGGGCATGCACGGTTTCGCACTTGTCCGTGTTAAGCGGAAGTAAATTTAACTTTGACCATTCAAAAGCGCAGTCTAAGTCTCGTTGCAACATGTCGTGATCTTCCTGACAGTCGATTGCTCACCGTGTCTTGATGTCATCAGCAAAATGCAGGAAATTTGTCTTGATGACGCTCGCAAGGTCGTTTATGAAGAACAAAAATAACTGCGGCTCCAACGTCGACCCTTGTGTAACACCGCAGTCCACACCAATTGGATCAGAAAATGAACCTCAAACTCGAACCTGAAGGTGCCGCTGAAAGAGGAAGTTTCCGATCCATCCAAGAGCAGGGTTTCCAACTCCGTAGGCTTGCAGCTTTTGGAGAAGGATTCGGTGATCTATGCATTAGGAAAACTCTAGGTATATGCCGGTCCCACTGTCGGTTGTCTCAGTCCAACTGCCACGGGCATGCAGTAGGTTGGTAGTACATGACGGATGCTGATGGAATCCGTGTTGCTCCGGTGCTATGATGTTAGACCTTTCGAAGTAGCCCATTACAGCCTCAGCTATGATCGATTCCATCAGTTTTATGTAATAAATGTATGTTGGTTGATGGGGTACGTCAGTAAGCATAGCTCCTCCATCCATCTACCCGGATGACTCCGTGCTTTCCCATGCTGAACAACAACAACAACAACAACGACAACAACAACAACAACACAAAGCAGGCTAAGCGAGGTTGTGTTGTGTACCATGTGGTCATTTGGTATTTGACTCGCTCGTCACATCTGCTAGTTATCGGTGAAGAGTAGGTTGCCTCCGCTGTTGCATCTAACCATATGGGTACCATAGCCACACGAAACCTTGCTATCGAATCTTTTGGTACTGGCGCTCGGGAGGAACAAGATGGAGCAGGGAGATTCCGATTTTCATTTCGAGGTCCCTTTCAGCATGAGGCTAGTTTATTACTCAGAGCACCAATTCACGATGTCATATGAATAAAACACATGGAGGCGATGGTGATACCCTCGTGAAGCACCACAAATATCTTGCCTGTAGAAGGATACGAAATAAATATATAAATTGTATATTCTTTGTCGATATGAGAAGCTGTTTCCTAAAAATAGCTGCTCAACAATTGTTACACTGCTTTTATGCCACTGCATTAATAAATATTTTTTGAAAGATATATGGGCGCAAAATTCAAGCGTTCGTAACACAATGTAAACAAAATCGTTCTGACGTTTTCTTATCCGTCGAACCAGAGTTCTCGCCTAAAAGATGTACGAGCCAAGAAAAAATGAAATGTAAGGGAACCTGGTCAATATATATATATATATATATATATATCATATAATTTAGCAGCGTCCGTATCCCGATTTGTTTGTCCCTGGCTTGCCGAACAACCTCGTGGTGCCAGCTGGGTGGTTCGGGATTTTCCCGTTCCAGCAAATCGTTCTGCGGCTGTGTTCCAGGACGTCTTGGGTTTTCGTCTGGCAAGCGTTCTCCCAATAAAAAGCCACATATGTCCGTTTAACAACACTGTGAGGTGGCGGACGTGACTCGCCATTAAATAAAACCACTTCCCGTTGCTTCATCCTGGCGAAGCAGTGTATTCCAGCAAGTTGATGCTGTAATTTCGGGGAGCATTGGGCCCCTGTTTGACAAAAGAAGAAACGAAAGGCGTATGAACTGAGCAATCAGTCACCGGCTCCCATTGGGCGCGATTCCATGAGTTCGCTCCGCTGCCTTGCGGGAGGCTATTCAGCCAAAGGCACGGGGTGGTGTCCCGTAAGTCAACACCCTACTTCGGCTTCGGCAACCGGGCAGTATCTCGCCCTCTGACGAAACCATGGACTTTTATGTTGTGTTGTGTTTTCTTTTATTATTTCTGTACCTTGTTTTGAGTTCCATGGTTTCCGATGGCTCAATGTCTATTCATAGACTGTTGCAA